GCTCAGAGTGATATCAGGGTTGTTCAATGGGAGGGTTGTTTTTAGATATAAAAAACAATCCTACTTTGTAATCTAGCCACATCTAGCCAGATCAGAGTGCCACATCTACTACAGTATATGGATTTGATTATGGTCACACTGCTTGTTAGATTAAATTCAACAACACTGATGCATTTATGTTGTTTTGTCATCTGTCTACACGCAGGTGTTTATCAGTGGCCTGAGGGCTGACAGTTCAGTGGTTTTAAAACAGAGCCGTCACGCTCTGTATTTCTGTGGGGACCGTTGTAGCGCATGCTGTATGGTATGCTTGACGGCCCCAGTGACATATACAGCACCAGCAAATTATTTCCACAATCACAGGTACGTCACACCTCAGAGTCCACGGGTTGGACTGCTGTGGTGAGCAGGTACCATACCATAGATGGAGAAATTAAGGTGTGAATCTGGATTAGCCCTTTAGCCTGTGGCTTGAACTAGTTGGACATTTATGTACCATTCGTGTCACCCATAAGCTCTGATTTCCTTTGTAAATTAGTTCAGATTTTGTACAAATTGGAACTTTTTGGGGGGTTTTGTGGTTTGTTCGTATTAATTTCTTTTCCATATCTGTAAATGAAACACATGTTCTCTCACATATTGAGTGGTGTTATGACAGAAAGAGAAACAAAAAAAATAGTTCCAAGAGAGATGAGTGAGCAATGTGACGGCATACGAAGGCTTCATTTTCTCCTGAACCCAGCTAATGTGTCTCCTTTATTACCACATATTTAAATACATATGTAAAAGAGATTGCTAGATCAGTGGGTATGCTCATGTGTGTATGTGATAACTATATACATTCTTTATTTTTCCTTGCTTCTCTCCTAATACCTTTGTTGGAGACTTGCCTTTATTACATTTTTTTTTTTACTCAACCTGCAAATCCATGCACACATTCTTCAATGTTCACTCTACAGCCTCAGCTGATTTATACATTTATATTAAATCCTATCTGAATGATAAATTGAAGTTCAACCTCAGTAAGTGATGTGTTAGTATTATTAAAGTAGTCCTCTAGTAAACATTTTTTTCTTTTTTAAGTGACATTAAATTGCTTTGGGTCCGAATGAATACAAAGTAAACAGTATATGGCTCATAAAAACAGTTTGTTTGTGATGCCTTGAGTATTATGGCAAGTGTTTATTTCAGCAGCTTTCATGACAATAAAATTGTCAGCAATAGTTTAAAAAACTGTTGATGAACTGACTTGTGAAAGTTTGGTTATTGCAAACCGTGAACTGAAATTTAATGATCTGTGTAGTGGAGATTTTCTTTGGAAATGTATATGATAAAAAAAAAACCATAGAAGGATGCATATAAATGGCTTTTAAAGCTGCCTTTGTCCATCCTTATTTTAGTCCCAGCAGCAGGGTTGTAAGCAGAATGTACAGAAGAGGACTTGGCTGTAATACTGGGATTCTCTGTCACTGCGGTCTCAGACATCTTTGAAGAGCTACTTTAATAGTATTAAGTGAATCTGTCTGCGCTAGCCAACAGTGGTTAAATGTAATGTTGTAACAAAAAGTCTTTTTGATTGTCCTTGGAATCAGCCAATATGAGTCTTTTTTTATCTGAACCTGAGCCTACTATTTAAGGTTTGCTTAATGCCTGCAGTTACGCCATTAAAACCCCAGAGACAACAGTTTCTTACCAGCAGCACTGATGACATAAGAACAACCAAAATCAGATCAGTAAGTCTGCTTGACAAAACAAACTAATTA